GGGCTGGGCCTGGCCTCAGTACCACTCTTTGGGGTGCTCTGGAAGCTCCTCCTTGCCCCTCTCATGGAGCCCCTTCCAGATACCTCCCTGCCTGAGCAACCCCTCCTGCCCTGGCCCTCCTTCTGGAAGCCCCAGTGCTCTCCTTGGCCTGACCATTTCCTGTACCCACAATGCACCTGGGAAAGGTCACCCTGGGAGGTGTCTGTCCCTGGTCCCAGTGGTGCCTAGGGCAGGGGTAGAACACTAACTCTCCTCCAGGAGGCCTTCCTGGGGCAGGCACCATGGAGAAGCCTCTCCTTCTGCTCAGTCCACCCTGGCCTGAGGCCAGCCAGCAGCCACAGTATGGCCAAGGCTAGAGATGCCCCAGGGCAGCCCTGTCCCTCAGGTCACAAGTCCGTGACAGGGTTCCTCGTGCCCATCTTGTGCAGAAAGGGCCCCATTGTGCGGGGGGCATAGCTGAGGGGTGAGTTCAGAGCCAGAGATGTCAACTCTGGCTGGTCCTGGGCTTTCTGATCACAGCAGGGGCACCAGGGAAAAGCCACAGGGCCACTTGTGGGGGCGAGGGGCAGGAGGCCGTGCACACGCAGGGCCCCAGGCCCTAGGAGACTTCGGTCCACACAAAGCACCCCACACCCTCTCCCCACTCCAGGACAACCCCGCTTCTGCATTCCTGTGGGCAGATGTGCCCTGCTTTCCTTCCCCAGCCAGCGGGGCAGCAGCTCCCCACCTTCCGGGGAGGCTCCGGACACGGAGGACACGGAGCGGAAGCAGGGATGTGGCACCTGTCCTCGGGGGCTGGGAGCTCCCTGAGCCGCACCGCACCCACACTGGCCGGGAGCCTGGGGCGCTTTCATCTCCTGCGAGGGGCACTTGTGAGGGAGGGAGGCCGCCAAGCTCAGGAGAAAGGCAGACACAGGCCAGGTTTGCCTTCCGAAGCTGGTTCCCCCCCCCCCTACTCTGCCAGCCCATCCCCAGCTCTGCCCCTTGGAGGGACCAGGGCCAGCAGACAGGAGGCTGGTGAGAAGGGAATGGCAGGGCCACACTGGTCACCCAGCTCTGGTGGAGCTGCTTCGGGCCTGAATCTGTTCCTAGCAGGGTCATTCACAGGCACACAGGGATCTCCCTGCAAGCTTCCTAAATCAGAGGCTCAGCCCCAGCCACTCCTCCCTTTCCTTTCCGCCCCAGGGACGGCTCAGCCTGCAAGGGCCTGGGCCAGGTCGGTGGGGGATCCAGGGTGTCAATTCCTGCAGTAATGAAGACCCCACCCTAAAGGGCAGGGGCTGTGGGATTCGGGGAGAGAGAGGACCAAGGAGACCCCCAAGAGAGAGCTGGAGGCAAAGATAGAGCCAGAGCAGTGTTGAGCTGGGGTGACAGGGAGGGAGAGGAGGAGGGGAGTCTGCAAAGGGGCTGGGGAGGGAGCGAGGGAGACAGGGAGAAGTGCTGAGCCAGGAGCCTGGAGGAAGGAAGCCATCAGCCCCTCCCCCCTCCACAGGCAAAGCTCCAGGCAAAGGTGTCCCCCTGGGCAGCCAGCAGGAGGCTGCAAGCCACTCCAGGTCCCCCTCAGCTCACCTGGGCACCTGTGTCACTCACTACCTTCGCCCTATGCCATCAGGCCATGGGGCCCAGCCTGCAGATGATGCTGGGACCCAGGAGAGGTGAGATGTGCCCACAACCCCCGGAGCCCCTGGGCCTCACTCTCCCCTAGAACCAGACTGCGCTACCCACCAGGAGACACGACCTGCTGCCAGAGACAGAGCTACCTGCCCCCCTTCTGCTCTGCCTGTGACTATTTGCCCACTGTCTCTTTCATGTTGCTAATCGCCCAGCCCCGCCTAATTGGTAATTAGCCTTGAGAGCCCAGCCTGTGCTTGGCTAATTGCTGTTTGTCTCACCCTCATCTCCGGCAGGCAGCGGAGCCAGTGCCAGCCCAGCCGCCTGGGCTCTATCCGGGCTGCTGGCATCCGTGCTAGGCTCCATGGAGGCTTCTGCAGCCCCACCCTGCTCTCTTCCAGAGGGCCCAGGGTGCAGCCTCTCCTGAAGCTGAAGCTGCGTCTGCCTTGAGGGTGGTCCTGACAGTCCTGGGCAGCTTCAGATTGTGACCCAGCTTTCATGCATATTCCATACTGTTATAGAAAAAGATGGCCACCTGGATGTGGCTGCGCATGTCTGTGATCCCAGCACTGCAGGAGGCTGAGGCAGGAGGATGGCAAGTTTGAGTCCAGCCTGGGCCACTTAGTGAGAGTCTGTCTCAAAATAAAAGATAAAAAGGGCGTTAGAGATGTAGCTCAGTGCAGAGGCCCTGAGGCCAATCTCCTAGACTGGAAAGGAAAGAAGGAAGAAAGGAAGGAAAGCGAGAAGAAGATGGCCATGAAGGAGCCACGGTCCCTGCTGCTGTGGAGGATCTGGGAGGGCTCCGAGGAGGAGGTGGTGTCTTGCATGGGGTCCAGGATTTAACCATCAGGAAAGGCAGGACGGACCTGCAGGCAGGGGAGAGCCCAGGCCACTTGCAAAAGGAGGCTCCAAGGCAGGGCCGGATGAAGGCGGTTGGAGGACTGGAGGCACCTGGTGTGGTGTGGCTGAGGGTCCAGGCCATGGAGAGGAAGGAGACTGGAAAGGATGCAGGCCTGGAGAGAGGAGGACCTGCTCTGGGTGCCAGGTGAGAAGGTGGGAGCCATGGATGGTTTTAGAGCTGTGAGAGAGAGGCATGATCTGAGAAAGGGAGAGAGGGTCATTTGGGGGCCGTGGGGAGGATGTGGATTGGGGAGGCAAGGGGGAGGCAGGACACGGAGAGCATCCAGCAGGCTGCTGCTTGCTTTTGTGCTGCAGAACCGGAAGAGGGGCAGGGTGGGGAGGACTGTGTTAGAAGCACCGCCAGGACTCAGGGCCCTTAGTTCAATGCAGGAGTTGCTCGAGTCACTGAGACAGCCACAGAGGAGCAGGCCAGGAGGCAGCTCCTGGCTTCCCACAGCTCAGGGAGGGGCGGGGGACCCCATTTAAAGAACTGACTCTCATTCTCTCTAGGACCTCCTCCTTCCCCTCTCTCCCTTGCTTCCTCCTCCTCGTCTTCCTCCTTCTTTGAGACAGGGTCTCACTATGTAGCCCAGGCTGGCCTCAAACTCACAGTGATCCTCCTGCCTCAGCCTCCCGAGTGCTGGGATGACAGGCCTGTGCCACCTCACCTGGCTTTAGGAACCAAAGGAGCTGAGGCCATTGTCACAAGAATCGACAGTAAGTGTCTCAGTGCTGTCCTTCGATGGGTCACAATGCACCCAACTTCTCAGAGCTTCCTGTCACGGAGCTGCTGTTCCCAGCCTCATTTCCAAATAAGGAAACTAAGGCTAGGACAGATTAGCCACATGTCCAAGCCACACAGCTGGTAAATAACCAAGACTGGATGCAAACTCAGGTCTAACTTCTCAGCCAGGACTGTCAGCATGATTCTAGACGCCTTACTCCTCCTGTGACCAGCAATGCTAACCTTGAATTTGTTTGATTGATTAATCAAAACAGCACAAACCAGCTGGGCGTGGTGATACACGCCTGTCATCCCAGCACTCAGAAGGCTGAGGCAGGAGGATCACTGAGAGTTCAAGGCCAGCCTGGGCTACGTAGTGAGACCCTGTCTAAAATAATAGAATCCTTTTCCTCTTCAACTCTGTCTGAGTCTTACTCATCCTTTTATGCCCAGGGCAAAGCCCACCTCTTCCAGGGAGCCATCCTGGATTTTGTAAGCCTCTCCTTGCTTGCTGGAGGCGAGCTCTTCGGTAGACTTGATTTTGCATCTTGTGGCAGCACACACACGCTGTCCACACTGCCATGGACTCCCCTGGATGGGTCTTGTTCTCCCTGCTGGTCAGCAAGTGTGCTGAATCCCTCGGTCAGCTTTGGTCCATCTCCCAGCCTGGCTCAGTGCACAGCGCAAGCACCTGCCCCAAGTGCAGGGAGGACCTCACCCTGGCCATGTGGGACTTGAGTGGCTCCTGGCTGTCCCTCAGACTCAAGTCCACCCCTGGAAGCAGAGAGTGGCAGTGCTGAGATCCTTCCAGAGCAGGAGTGTTCCAGACTGGGAGCCTCCCAGAAGGGGAAGGCTGCTTTGAAAAGGACCGCATGTGGTAAGAGGAGCAAGTGCTGGTGCTTTTATCAAAACCATCAGTGACATCTCGTGTTTGCCTTTCGGGGCTTTTATTTCCTCTAGCAACCCTGGCCTGGTGGCCCAACATAATCGGCACCAGGGGTGGGGGGGTGCGGGGCTGCAGGGCGGGGGCGGCGGGGGGAGCCCCTTGTTCTTTGCCCCAAGTGGGCTCAGACCCAAGCATTCTAAGAGTGGGGGTGGGAGAGCCCATGAGGGATGTGAGTGCTCACAGCTATGCTGGGCTGCCCTGCGGGGCCGGCTAGGGCTGGGGCTGCTTCACAGCAAAGGTGGCACCACCCCCCTCAGGCCTCCCACCCCCATGGTCACCAGAAACAAAGGCTCTGCAATTCATCTGCCTGGGCTCAGCCTGCCCCTCAGACTTTGCAAAATAAATTTACTTCTTTTTGTTGTTGTTGTTTTGAGACAAGGTCTCACTGTGTACTCCAGACTGGCCTGGAACTCTCAGAGATCCTCCTGGCTCAGCCTCCTGAGCACTGGGACTACAGGTGTTTGTCACCATGCCTGGCTACTTATTTCATTTTAACCATCTGCTGCTGGGGTGAACTCAGGGCCTTTACACTGAACTACATTTCCAGCCTTTAATTTTTATATATTTATTTATTTTTACTGGGCATGGTGGTGCAAACCTATAGTCCCAGCACTCAGGAGGCTGAGGCAGGAGGGTCTCCTCAAGTTCAAGGCCAGGCTGGACTACATAGTGAGTTCAGGGACAACTTAAACTACATAGTGAGATCTTTTGGGGGTTTTCTTTTTGGTACCAGGGATTGAACCCCGGACCTTGGGCTTTCAAGGCAGGCAACAGAACCACTGAGCTAAATCCCCAGCCAATCTTGCAAAACATTTTTAAAATTTTGAGACAGACTCCCTAAGTCACTAAGTTGTCCAAGCTGGGCTCAAACTTGCAATTGTCCTGCCTCAGCCTTTTAGAATGCTGGGATTACACTAGCTCACCGGCCTGATTTAGGGAACAGGTTGGCCCAAGGCAGGCAAACACAGAGGGTGCCCAGAGAGCTGTCCCACTTGCTGGGAACCCTGCCTTCTGACCAGCCAGGGTTCAGAGCAGAAAGCCCTCCATCCCCAAGTGGGATGTCTCCTCTGGGGGCTAACCGAGCCCACAGGAGGGAGGGGCCAGGTCTTTCCCTGTAACATCTCGTATAGTCCTCAAATCAGTCCCAGGAGGGGCCATTACTGTCCCCAGTACAGAAATAGAGGCTTAGGTTGGCTAAGCAGTGTGCTCTGTGGCTCAGATAGACGTGGTCACTACCCCAGGGTGACACAGGTGGTAGGTAGCAGAGCCAGGGTCTGGACCCGAGCAGCCTGATGGCCAATATGCATTTCACTAAGAGCAGAGGCCCAGGCGTGGCGCCCTGGTCCCTGCACCAGGCCATGTGGCAGGGTCAGTTCAGTGCTTGACTCCTCACAGGACTCTCGCTCTGAAGGCAGTGAGGGGGTAAGAAAATGGGCCTGTTGACAATGAGGAAAGAAGGGTGTGTTGATGGAGAGGCACTCCAGGAAATTCCTATAGTGGAGTCTGTTCCGGCTTCTATTGGCCAAAGCCTCCTGTGATCCTAGGTAGGGCTTTTGGAAGGTGCTTGCATGATAGGCTTAGAGTTGATTTGGAAGAAACCGACACGGTGTAACAGGACTTGGTACTTTGTCTTCTAGGTTTTGGGGAACCAGACGATTTGGGCCCAGGTGGGCCCGACCAGCGCTGGTCTCTCACAGGATGTTGGTCTCCAGAAACAGAATCCCATCCCAGGGATGCAGCCAGGGAAGGCAGCCTGCAAGTCGGGGAGGCTCCGATCCGGGACAGCAGAAGGCTCTACAATAGTGAGAGAGAGAGCAGCTGACTCTCAGACTTCAGCCTTTGAGAAGGCCCTGGAGGATCTCATCAAAATGCAGATTCCGACTCAGCTGGGGCAGGGTGGAGCCTGCAGATTTGCATTTCTAACAAGATGACACCCTCCCCCACCCCGGTGATGCCCAGGCTGCTGGGTCCAGGACCCCACTTTAGGTGGTGAGAATCAAGGGTCTCCAACTGGAATTTGCTGTCCAGACTGCACATTTACATCCCCTGGGGAGGTGTTTTAAAGAAAAAAAAAAATCCAGGACCTCACCCACAACCATAAATCATAATCTTTAGCCTGGCATCTGTAGCTTGCAAAGCCCCCGTGGCAACAGGGCTGAGCAGTGAGGAGGTGACGGGAAAACTCCAGATGTGCCCATTCAGGCAGGGGCAACGGCTCCAAGCCCCCTTCCCAGCGGATGAGCCGGAAATAGCGGGCAATTCACACGGAGACCTGGCCCCTGCCCTGTGAATGGCACTCCTGGTGACCCCAGAAGGACAAGGAAGGGGTACCCATATCAGGAAGGGGACGGGGCAGGAAGGGCAGCCCCTCGCTACTCTGTCCCCACCAGCCCCTTGGAAGTGGCTTTGTCCAGTGTCTGAGGCACTGGGCTAAATATAGCCCGGGCTGGGGGCTGAATTCAGGCTATTGAAGCTTCCTGCTTGCCCGTGCCCCAGCCCTGGAATGCAGGGAGGCTGCAGAAGAGCAGGCTGGGGGCAAGGGGACAAACTGCACGGCCAGCTGGAAGGGGAAATCCAGGATAGTTCGTCTTTAAAACTGGGTGCTATTGGGGAAAAAAGAGAGACATTCCTCTCCTTGTGCTATGCAGGATTCATACTCTGAACCCCTAACCCCCAGGGTGACTATATTTGGCCATAGGGCCTCTAAGTGGGTAAAGTTAAATAAGGTCATCAGGGTGAGCCCCTGATCCCATAAAATTAGTGACGTTGTAAGCAGAGGAGAAAATTCCAGGAAGTGCTCCCCAGGCCCCCAGCCTTCTGTGAACTCCTCACCTCAGCACCTGGGACAAGGACAGGGCAGGGGACAGTGTAGACAGAGGTGGCCACTCACAAGCCAGGAAGGGAGACTTTACCAGAAACAACTTGCCGGCACCTGGGTCTTGGAACTCGTAGCCTCGAGGATCTGGAGAAAATAGATCTGTGATCCTGTTTCTCCCCTAGCCAACTCACCTCCCAGAGACTATTTCCAAGGGGAATCCTTCTGCCGTGGTTAATTTCATGCATCAACTTGATTGGCTACGGGGTGCCCAGATATTTGGTTCAACCTTATTTTGGGGGCGAGATTTGCATCCATATCTGTAGATGAGTAGGGTGACTGCTCCCTCCCATTCCTTGGGTGGGAACTTACACCATCCATGTCCTGGTTCCCAAGCCACTGGAGGGGGGTGGGAGTCACACCGCTGGCTTTCCTGCGTCTCCAGCTTGCAACAGATGGTGGGATTTCTCCGAGACCATGTGAGCCAATTCCTTGGGATGGATCTCCCTACTCTGAGAACCGTGGCTGATACACCTTCACTTCCGGAAACCCAGGGCAGTCTAGGAAGTTCTTGTAACTTAGCCACCATCTCTGCAGCTATAACTAGGCTCCAGCGCAAAAGGAATGTTGGTTCAACCTCAGCCTGTAAAAACGCATCTCTTTGTATGCATAAGAGACCCACTGGGAGGGGAGGGGCACACAGTAAGATTGTGTCAGACTTGCCCTGATCTCTTGCATGCACACATACACACACACACACACACACACACACACACACACAGCACCCCTGGCACACACCATCCCTGGTGCACACTTGCCGTGGCACCAAGCCCCACCCAGAGGAGTGTGGGCCTGTGGCTTGTCAGCCTGGCCTGTTTAAGCGGTGAGTGTGCACAGTGGAGAGGCCAGAGGCACATTAAGGATTAACTTCCTGACTGCAGCCAGCCTGGCTCAGCCTTCCTGTTAGAGCATTCTGTGGGCAGCTTCCACCCAGAGCCACAGCTCTGCAAAACCGCAGCCCCTCCCAGGCCTGGGCCTCCACCCACCCAGGCCCCTGGACACCCAGGCAGGAGTCCTTCCTGCCCCTCCTGCCCAGGTCCCCATATGCAGATGTCTGGGAGCCAGAGGGGAGGGGTCGCAGGATGGGGGAAGTGTTCGAGCCTGAGCCTGTGGTTAACAAGGTCAAAGCCCTGATTGGCTGGATTACCCTTGCGGGGCAGACCACGCTATTCAGTTAGTTGGTCCCCTACCCAAATATAGAGTTTGGGGGACTTCCAACCCCCACCATGAGGAAGATGGTGTTGTCAGCCCGGACTTAGGCTAGGTCAGGTGCAGCAGGGGCTAAAGATGCCCAGGAGTCCAGGAGGGTAGGGTGAGAAGGTCAAAGGTGCCATCACTGCAGTCACCTGGAAAGCCCTCACAGGCAGAGCTCTGTCCCCCGCCTCAGAGCAGGGACTCTGCCTACTGTGCGCTGCACCCCTCAAAATGGGCCAGCGTCCTGGGAACTGTGTGGCAGCTCCTGTTCTTCCCCCTCCCACTGACAGAGGACCTTCCAGGCCACACTGTGGGCCCCAGATTTGCCCACGTGGGTGCAGCCTGCCTCCAGGACCCCTCTGACTGGGGCCTGGGTGCTGCCCCCATCACTCCCCACTCCACTCCAGCAATGTCTGTCTCACAGGCCCCAGCAAGGCAGAAAGGCAGCCCTGATGGGGTGGGTGGGTCGTCCGGGTTCGGAGGGGGGGCGGCCATTAGGGAGCTGAGCTACTGCAGGACTGGGAGGATGCTAATCGATGGGCTCATGTTATATTTATCAGCCACAGTACTTAGGCGCTGCCTCGAGCAGGACTAATGGCCTCCCCATTGGAGACGCCATTACAGGAAGTGTGGGGGCAGGGGCGGGTGCTGAGACGAGACGGGAGCTGGCAAGGCCTCCTCCGGGCAGTATCCGCCACCCCCAAGCCCCTGCCACCTGGCTGCTGTCCTGCGGGCTGCTGGGATCAGACATGGTAACCACGGGGTATGCGGGCTACCCTTCCCCTCTTCCCCACTGTCTACCTGGGGGGCCCACCCAGAATCCCCAGCCAGAAAGTCACCTCTGTCTCCCCTTCAGTGCTGTCTTTTCCTCTACCCCTTCTGAGTCGTTTGACTGAAGCCACACCCTCTCTACCCGCCTACTTTTTGAATGACAGCCATGTGGGCCAACCAAGGGGCTCAGCCTTTCCTGGGGTGGAGCCCACGGTGGTTGCCATGGTGATCTTTCAGGGAGGTGGGCGGAGGGGGGGTCTAGATACTTCCTCTAACTGCATTAATTGCTCATTTATTTAGGGCAATTAGTCCCTGGGTGACCCTCCCTTCTTTGACCCCACAAGGGCTAGTCTCAGTTCACACAACGTTCCCCCAAGAAGGGGTGAGGCCTGGTCCAGAATGAATGGGAGAGGGGCAGGAGGCCAGGGAACGGGACAGAAGCACCCAAAGTCTAGGGTCCTGTCACTGGCTCGTGGCCTCCGGATGGCTGCACCCCCCTCTGCTCCGCTGTTCTCCGTGGCCGCCTCATCCCGGTTAGCTCCTCCCCGCAGACAGCCCTGCAATAGCTGCGGCTCCCAGGGGCTCCTTCCTGTCCTGCCAGGTGCCACTGTGTCCCGCCAGGTGACCCCGTGAGTCCCCTAATCCTGCTCCACTCTGAGACACCTGCTTCCCTAGAACATTCGTGCAGGCTGCTAGGAATTGGTGGTGGCTGCAGGAGCCCATAGCCCAGACCCGGAAGTTGGCACAGGGGAGGCAGATGATGACCAATCTGGGTGCCCTGGAGGCCCAGGCTGGCGACACCTCCATGGAGCTTGCATTTAGAGGACCCTGGCTCTGGCCTGCCCCTCCTTGCCCACCCTGAGGAGCCTTCTGAAGGCTGTCCCACCACAGCTGCACCACAGGGTTCTGCTCTGGCCTCTGGCTTGGCCGTGCCACCAGGCCACAGACACTGTTTGCCTTCCAGGCCCCGCAGCCAGGGGTGGCGCCCTTAAAGCCCCTCTCTGGCCATTGCTGTGGGGTGCACCTGAGTCTCCCAAAGGCCCCTTGGTTTAAAGTTGAGGCAACAACTTTGTCCTCTGGGCTCAGACCCTTTGGTTTTCCTCAATTTTGTAGGCCAGGCCACACCCAGGCCTGGAGCTCCTGTAAGGAGTGCTCACCCACACAACTGGGGACTTTTTCCCAGTGCCCCATTGCACCCGTCTCTGCCTTGCTCACCTGCAAGCCAGCCTCCTTCCTGTGACCCGGGGGAGGCGACAGGAGTGGGAAGGCAGCCTGGACTCGGCCTTGGTGGGTCCTTGGCTGGGGGACAGAGTCATATGGGGGGTGACCTCACCCTCTGGGCATCCTCTGCTGGACAAAAGGTCAACTGTTGTCCAGCCTGGAAGCAGGAGGCAAAGGATGACACTCCCATCCTTGGACCACTTCGGAGACCCTGCTGCAAGGCTTGCCCCAGGCCGCCCCAGCATGGGAAGGATGCAGCGTCAGGAGGCCTGGCTGGGGAGGAAGGCTCCAGGTACCTGTTCAGAGCCCCTCCTGGGCTGACCTCAATCCTGGGACGTGAACCCTCCTGCTCCCAAGCCAGAGGCAGACACTTGGCTTTCTGCTTTGCCTTTTTTCCAGCATTGCCTCTGATTTTTTTGGCAAGGGAGGGTGTGTTTTTCTTTTATTCCCTGGGAGAACAGTGGATTCCAATTTTCTTTTTACAATAGGTTGGAACGAAATCTTCCTAGAACTCTGATCAGTGAAGTAGAGGAAGCTTCTTTAACTGAGAGGTGAGGACAGAGGCTTCTCCGAGCCCCTTATCCAACCCATTCAGGCCCTTTGTCTGGACTTTCTCCTGGGGTGGGCGCAGCTGCAACCCTCTTTACCCCCTCCTGCGCCGTGCGCTTGCCCGCAGATGCCCATACGGCTGTCTCTGCTGAAAGCACCCACATCTCCCTGCACTCGTATAACCCTCCGGCTCTGGGAAGCCTCCCTGACCAGGCCTGTGTGTCCCTCTCCCAGCTTAGGTTCACAGCTTCTGCAGCTTCGGGCAAGGACCTCCTTATGTGTTGTTCTCTTCCTTTCTCCTAGAAGCTCCGTGAAGATGGGGACCCCGTCCTTCACCTGGAGCCCGCCCTGCCTGGCTCAAGCAGGGCCTTGCAGGATCAGGAGGGAGCAAATGAGGGTGGGCTGAGGCTGGCCTGGGTGTGCAAGCTCTCTGGATCATCACACTGGCCCCCAACACACATGCACGCGTGTGCACACACGCACGCACACATGCGCGCACACACACACGCACATGGCCTGACACAGAACCCTCGCCTGAGGCCCCCATGTGGGGTGGGGGAGGAGGATGGGCTGGGGGAGGGGGCTTCCCTCCAGATGTTGTTGGAAATCCAACACGTCCTCTCCACACACGCCCCCTCTCCCACTTCCTGCTCCATTTCCCCTAAATATTTATGATTTTTATTTACATTCTTTGCCCGAGGTGCCCAGCCCCTGTCAGGTCCCATTTGCCTACCCGGTTCCCTCCCTCCAGCTGCCTCCTCAGCCCGCACATCTGGAGTCAGGAATTGCGCGTGGTTGGCAGCAACCACCCCCCAGCCTGAGGGGTGTGTGGGGTGATGAAGCCAGTGGGCTGTGGCTCTGGGCAGGGCTGGGCAGGGGCTAGGGATGGGGGCAGCTCGCCAGCACATTCCTGCCTGCCCGATCTGGGATCACTTTAGCCCCCTTTGTTTCCCAGGGACTTGTGGAAGCGCCTGATGGATGCCAGATGCCAGGCACGCCTGGGAGGGAGGAGGGCCAGTGAGGCTGATGTGACAGAGGGGAGACACTTCTCCTGGCAAGCGGGCTGGCTCCCTGGAGTGCCACCCACTTGGGGCCTCCTCCCTGCAGCCTACAAGGATCCAGAGAAAGATTTCCCTTTCCACGCCCCGTCTACCTTTCACCTACTCCCCCTCTTGGGCAACTCAGCTGGTCTTTATCCAGCACTTCCAGCAGGCCAGGTACTGTCCCAGGTGCTGACGCTAAGTCTGCCAATCCACAGCCCGTTCTTGCCCTGACCTCTCCTAGGAGCCAGTACACACATGCTGGAGTATGTTCAAGGAGAGGAAAAGGGAGGAAAGGAGCTAGGGAGGGGCTGTAATTTTTTTTTTTTTTAATCAAGATCTCTGTATGTAGTTCAGGCTGGACTTGAAGTCACTATGTAGCCCAGGCTGGCCTCCAACTCACAGCGATCCTCCTGCCTCAGCTTCCTGAGGGTTGGGATCACAGGTGTGCGCCACCACACCCAGCCAGGGCTTCGATTTTGAATAGCATCAGGGCCACTTCCTGGAGTGAAGCCTCAGGTGAGGGGGTGAATGGGCCTGGAGGAGGGAGACCCCTGAGCAGAAGGGAGAGTCTGTGGGCCCACTATGGGCTAGGCAGAGGCCTGCGTGGCTGGAGCAGCTTCTCCTCCAAGGATGGGAGCTGCCCATCTGGACATATGAGGGCAGCAGAGTGGCTCCCACTTGTCACCCCTGCCCCCTTCTCACACCCTGGGGTGTGGCCTCCCATGAGTGACCCTGGCTCTGGTGGGCTCCCTCCCAGGCAGCTGAGGCCTGCATGGATCCCTCTGCTCCAGGAAGTCCTCCGAATTGCTTGAAGGAGCCAGCCAGCTTGGTCTGGACGGTAGACGTCCTTTCCAGGGGAGAGGTGTTGGACAGAGATTCTGACGTCCCCCGGGGAATATCCTGCCTCCTCCAGCCTTTCTCCTGTTACCCTGAAAATTACTTCTGTCCTCACTTTCTTCCTTCTTGCTATGTAGTCCAGGCTGGCCTGGAACTCACAGCAATCCTCCTGCCTCAGCCTCCCGAGTACTGGAATTACAGGCATGAGCCACCACACCTGGTGCAAACTCTGTTTCCAGATGGTGACTAAATGCTGGCAAAAGTGCAGAGATGGTGGCATTCTCTGCCAGGAGGGCAGCAACTCTGACCTGCGAGTCCTGGGAGTGAACCATTTTCCTACTGCAGGAAGCTGAGCCTCTGAGCCTGGTCCTGGCTCAGTTAGGGGCTCACTGGGCAATTTCCTGCTGGATGGGGCCTCACTCATCCAGGCCTGGCTCATTCCCAAGGACTGATTGAGCTGACACTGGAAACTGCTTGCCTGGGCACAGAGAGAGCCCAAAGCCGACTTGGCTTCTACTCTTCCCGAGCCTGCCCTTCCAGGAGGGAACAGGTATCAGCTGAATGGCCACACAAATGTAGTCACAATCACAAGGAAGGAAGGAAGCAAGCAGTGCCCGAGCATATATTGGGTGCATTTGGCCAGCCAAAGAAGCTAGGGCCTTCCCTGAGGAGGTGAGACCTGGGTGAAATCGGAGGGATGGAAGGATAGTCCAAGCAGATGACATGTGTGTGCAAAGGCCTCGTGGCGGAAAGATGCCACCGCCGAAGGTAGTCAAGGCTAGAATTCAGATGGCAAAGGGGATGAGTGTAAAGAGAGGCAAACAGGGACTGCTCGTGCAGAGCCTTCTCAGACATGTTGAAAATTGATCTAGGCTGGGCTGGGTGGCACACACCTGGAATCCCAGCACTCAAGAGGCTGAGGCAGGAGGATTGCCACAAGTTTAAGGCCAGCCTGGGCTACACAGTAGGACCCTGTATCAAAACAAAACAACCCCGACAAACAAAAACCAAGCTGATCTTGGAGCAGTGGCTGCAGGTCAGGGTAAGGACAGTGGAGGTGGGAGACCTGCTGGGAGGCCCCATCATGGCCCAGGTGGGAGGTAATAGTGGCTTCAGGTGGCAGGGGGGATCAGCTCACTGGCAGGGCGGTGTCCAGGGTGACACCTGGATTCTTGCTGCAGGTGTCTCAGCTGTAAGGAGTGATGCAGCAGCTGCTGCCTGGGGACCTGGGTGAATGGATGGAGGCCAAGGGGAGCTGGGCCTTGATCTGCCCCAGATCCTTAGAGCTCGGTCTGGACTTGACTGTGCTGCCCACAGTGCTCGGGAAGGATGCGGCTAGGACTGGGCAGGGGATGAAAGAGGAGCTGGGATCCACCCGAGGGAGGAGCAGAGAGGCTGTAAACACCTCCCCAGCAGGCAGGTGCTGCAGAGCTTGTGCTGATGCTTCAGGCTGAGGCAGGAGAGGAGAGGGCAGAGCTGCAGGGGACAGATTTGGGAGGTGCCGAATTCATCTGCTCTTCCCCCAGGCCCGGTAACACCGCAGGGAGCACCCACTGGGCCGGTGGCTCAGGGTTCACTGTGCCTTGGATCCACACTGAGGACTGAATCCTTGGGTCTTCGCTGAGCATTTCTCCACCCAGAGGCCCTGGGAGGGAGCAGTCCTGGCAGACACGGTGTGCAAGTTCACGGGCAGGAAGGGCTTCCTGGGCTGGAGGCAGAGGAATCAAAACCCTGTCTGAGGAGGGCCTGTGGCTGAGGGCCTGGGGGACAAAATCAGAAGCCCAGAGTGGAAAAGAGAGCAGTGCCGAGACAACAGGCCACCGGCGGCCATGTGCGCACAATGCTGCGGACACCTGCTGCTCCCTGCAAGCTGGGGCCGGCTGGGTGGAGAGAGGAGTCCTGGTCCCTATTCTGCTCTCCATTTGGTCCTCCCGACCTCTGGTTCTGAAACAAAATGGGGTGGCACCCCGTCCCTCCTGTCTTAACAGACCGTCACCAGGAACAAACTGCCCACGATACGGCAAAGGCGCTTTGCACCTGCCACACAAAGGGCCTGATCCTGGCTTGGCCCACTCTGAGTGTCTGCTCAGTAGTCAATGAATAAATGAATGAATGAACAAATGAATGGTGAAGTTTAACCGTACTCTCAGGGAACCTCTAGAACTTTGTTTTTTTGGTACCAGGGATCGAACTTGGGACCTTGTGTTTTCAAGGCAGGTGGCAGAACCACTGATCTAAATCCCCGGCAACTCCTAGGACTTTGGAGGTGATGAGACTTGAACTACAGGGCAACAAACCAAACTGACTTTGGAGGCAGCAAGATTTTGGTTTGATCTCGACTCCACCACCAGCCCTGAAGGCCACTGTTATTCCTCACGTTTTGGAAACCGAAGAGGCTCAGAGAGACTGAGCGACTTTCCCGGGCCCCCAGCGGCTGGGCAGGGAAAGGGTCAGGACAGGAACCTCGGATTCTGTCTGCAAAGCCTGTGCTCTTCCGGCCACCAGAGAATCCTGTTGTAGGTGACTTGCTGGGACTCTGGCCTCTGTGACTGCCTACCCATTGAGAAAGCTGGAATTGTTTTTCATTTTATTTTTGCATGTGGGTGTCTCATAATTGCACAGCACCTCCGGGGACTGCTGGGTCCTTGGGAGACCAAGACCCGTTCAGGATGGGCTGGGGCCAGCAATTTACACTGAGCCTGGGGGGAGGGGGCGAGATGATGGGATCACTCCACCCTCGTGCTCTGCCACCTCCACACACAGCCAGGCCTCCCCGTGAGCCAGTGCCATGCCCCAGGGGCTCTTGCGGGCAGGGACTTGTCATGCCACAGCTGCCTGTCCCCTCCCCGACTGGACTTCAGCCTCTACCATCCGTTGGCCACTTCCCAAAGTGCGTTCTGTGGCCTGTTTATAGACGTTTCTTGCAAAGAAGAAAAGGTGGTGTGTGATGGAATGAGTTTAAAAAACCATGTCCGACATGCTACCCTGGCTCCATGCCAAACTTACTGGACTTCTGCTTTAGTTACTTTTCTCCTTGCTGAGACAAAATGCCCAACACCCAAAGTTAAAGGGGGAAAGGTTAGTTTAGCTCACAGTTTATAGAGGTTTCACTCCATCATCAGCTGGATCCAAGACAGGGTGGCATTGCAGAGGTGAAACAGTTCACGGTGGGCAGAAGGTAGCAAAGCAAAAGGGGTGAGCACAGCTCTTTCTGTCCCTTATGTCTTATTCAGGCTACTTAGGGCAGGTAGCACTCACACCCTCAATCCTAATTCCCTTCATCCTAGCATTGCACCGTGAATCAATCCCAGGATCACACACTCTAGATCCAGCCACCACTGAAAAAGCCCCACCTATGACCGTGTGAGGCTTTGTGGACATCTAGACCCAGCCATGACAACTTCCCAGAGCCTTTATACTGTGCATGTGGGGTGTGCATCCTCAAGAGCATGGGGAGCTCCAGGAAAGAACATCTCCTACTGTAATCCCAGCTACTCTGGAGGCAGAAAGATCGCAAGCTCAAGGACAGCCTGGGCAACTTGGCAAGACCTTGTCTCAAAAATTTTGAAAAGATGGGCCAGGGATTTAGCTCAGTGGTTCTGTCGCTTGCCTTGAAAGCACAAGGACCTGAGTTCGATCCCTGGTACCAAAAAAAATATTTTTTAAAAAAAGAGCTGGGGAGGTAGCTCACTGAAAGAGGACTGGCCTAGCCTGGGTTCAATCCTCAATACATTGAAAAATGTTTTCCAACTGATCCCCAGGAGGACTTTGGGTGGGCTGGAAGGGCAAGACAGGCAGAGGCTGAATGGGTGAAAGAGGAGGAGAGCCCTCCTACCAGCCAGGTACCAGCCAATCCAGGGTCTCGGTCCTCCCAAGCTTGCAGTCCAGGAACAGGCGTGAGCCACCAGGAGCTCCCCTCCAGGGTGGAAGATGTGAGTGCCGCGAACAAAACCACATCCTGACCCAGGAAGACTCCGGCTGCCTTACCCCACGGCACCTCGGAGTTGGCCGGCTTCCCCTCCTTTATCTTTTCAAGAATCAATAACTGATCTGAGTCCAGGTCAGGTGGCCCGTGGTTGATTCTTTAACCCTCATTGATGGGGTCCCAGCACTCAGCCCCCAGAGGAGCATGGGGTCAGTCAGCCTGCTGTCTCTTTGGGGTCTAGGGTCCAGGGAGGGGCTGGGCTCTGAGGCCCACCCAATGTCTGGCTTATTTTTAGTCTGTTCTGTTGTCAAGGCTCCAGGCCTTTGGCACTGGGATGGCTTAGTTGGGCCCGGATGGGATATGGGTGTGGTGACACCCATAGGAATGCCAGCTTCTTGCCCTGTCCCTTGCCAGCTCTGCAGCCCCAGGTCCCGGGCAAACGGGCTAATGTGGCACCCCCTCTTTCACCCGGGCAGAGGTAGGAGGAGTTTAGGCCCTTCCCCGTCCCCCCAGAGACATGGGGTGGGGGGCTGCCAGCTCCACA